GGGGCTCGCGCCTCCTCGGGCTGCTCGGGCTGGTTTCGGTCTCAGTTGCGGCCGCCGCCTGGGACTTGACTTCATTGCGCTGCAGCTTCGGCACCTTCTGCGAATGTGACTTCCAGCCCGACTTCCAGGGTGAGGAGCGGAAGAGCGGAGGGGCGGGCTGACCGGAGACCCCACGGACTCCGCGACTGGACCTGAGGGTGGAACCGAGGGGCGGAAGGACCCCAGACTCCTGGACGGCCGGGCCGGAAGTGGGTCCTGTGTGGAGAGCCTGGGGCTCGGGACCTGGGGCCAAGGTTAGGGGATGCTTGTCTGGGTCCAGGCAGAGCCCTGCCAGGATGGAGAGAGGCCTTTGACAGCGGGGCCGCGGGGCAGGGCTAGGCCTCCCCAGGGGAATGGCCGCCAAGGGAGAGGCTGACCTTGGGAATTGGCAGAGGGGTCTGGGGCAGACCCTGTTGACGGCTGGCACCCACTTAGGGCTGAGCGCAATTCAGAGGGAAGCCTAGAGGGGGCGCTGCCAAGCTGAATTAGGCCTGACGGTGACTCCTGCAGCGGGCGATCCCTTGTGAAAGCGTCCCAGGCCATAGGGATCTCTAGACCCGGTTCCAGACATCACTTCCCCCTTGAACCTCTTCCGGCGGGAGCGTGTCCTCAACTCTGACACTGTCCTTCTTGTGGCCCTAGGTCTGGAGTGTGACCTGGCCCAGCACCTGGCAGGCCAGCACTTGGCCAAGGCGCTGGTGGTGAAGGCACTGAAGGCCTTCGTGCAGGACCCGGCCCCCACTAAGCCGCTGGTCCTCTCCCTGCACGGCTGGACAGGCACTGGCAAGTCCTATGTCAGCTCCCTGCTGGCACACTACCTCTTCCGGGGTGGCCTCCGCAGCCCCTATGTGCACCACTTTTCCCCTGTCATCCACTTCCCCCATCCCAGCCACATGGAGCGCTACAAGGTAGGCTGGTTGCATCCCGGACCATCATCCCCCTGCATCAGGGATGCCATGCCCTAGGGAGGGAGGGAGTCCTACGCCCAGAGATGGGGGTTCACTTGCTGTAGGCCACACAGTCGGTGGGAGCCAGCCCTCAGGACCCATCCCGAACAGAGCTCGGGACGATGCCATTCTACCTGGCAGGGAGTTCTCGCTTTCATTCTTGGGGGTGAGGCATTAATGGTGTCTACTTGCCAGGGTTGTTCTGAAGAACATGAGATTATAGAATTACAGGTATTAATTATTGAGCACTTACCTTTGCCAGTCTGCATTATCTTCTCTCTGAAAAGCACTTAGCCCCAACTTGAGGCTCAGAGTAAGTACTTAGTAACTACAAGCTGTTATTGCTACTATTATTATTATTTTTACTACTACTGTCATTGTTGTTATTGATGGCAAGGCACTTTCCAGGCTGAACTAACTGTCACAACTGCCGGGAGCCCTGTCTGGTGTGGCTTAGTTGGTTGAACTCCTCCCTTGCACCAAAAAGTCACTGGTTAAATTCCCTGACATGGCACACGCCTTATGCGGTTTGATCCCCAGTAGGGGTCGTGCAGGAGGCAGCCAATCGATGTTTCTCTCTCTCTTTCCCTCTCCCTTCCTATCTCTCTCAAATCAATTTTAAAAAACCAACAAAACATTGCCCTAGCCGGTTTGGCTCAGTGGATAGAGCGTGGGCCCGCGAACTGAAAGGTCCCAGGTTCTATTCCGGTCAAGGGCACATGCCGGGGTTTCGGGCTCGATTCCCAGTGGGGGACTTGCAGGAGGCAGCGACCCATGATTCCCTCTCATCATGGGTGTTTCTATCTCTCTCTCCCTCTTCCTTCCTCTCTGAAATCAATAAAAATATATTTAAAAATAAGAAAAGAAAAGAAAAAACACCCAACAAAACATAAAACGAAACTGCTGAGAAAGTTCACGGGGCAGGAAGGAGCCTTCCCCGTTTGTAGAAAGCAGCAGGTGTCAGGGGAGGAGCCCTGAAGGCAGGTGCGGGCCTGGGTTTGAGTCCCTGTTCTCCGGCTCACTTGCTGTTTGAACGTGGACAAGTCTCTGCCCCTCTCAGGGCCACAGTTTTGCCATCAGTCCCATGAAGGGATGGTGCTCGCTGTGAGCCCATGTCTTCCAGGGAAGGGGATTAATTCTTGCTTGGGAAGAAGTCTGGGGCTGGGGGAGTGTCTCCAGTCCCCCTCAAACTCCTGCCTCTCCTGCAGAAGGACCTGAAGAGCTGGGTCCAGGGGAACCTCACTGTCTGTGGCCGCTCCCTCTTCCTCTTTGATGAGATGGACAAGCTGACCCCAGGCCTGATGGAGGTCCTACAACCTTTCCTGGGCTCCTCCTGGGTTGTGTATGGGACCAACTATCGCAAAGCCATCTTCATCTTCATCAGGTGGGTGCCGCTGTGACGGGGATACTTAGAGGCCTCAGCTATCCAGTCTTGGTCTGTGGTCCCCCAGCAGAATACCATCCCCCAGGGCCCCATCAAACTTTCCCAAAGCCCCTCACCCTCCTGATGGTGTCATTCAAGGTGGCTGGCTTCCCCTTTGACAGTCTCGAAGCCCATTCTAGGCTCAGGCTTTCTGGTCCTCATTTCTTTGTGGAAGCCCTGCTGCTAGCTCAAGAGTTTTCCCTCTTTTGTGGCCAGGAGGACACAGGCCCGGGAGAAACAGACTGGGGTTCTAGTATCACCTCCAAGAGTCCTTGCTATGTTTCCTCAGGGAAATTACTTCACCTCTCTGAGCTCCCATCTCCTCTCTGAACAGCAGGGCCAAATGAATGCCCCACTGTCCTAGAAGCTGGGTGAGGGGAAGTCAGTTTACGGGACTTAAAAGTGTTTTGTAAACTGTAAAGTGCATGGCATTTACAGGTGAATTTCTAGGGGTCCTGGTTGTGGACTCGCTCTGGAAAGGGGAAGTAGTTCCTGTGGAATGTGTTGGTGGGTTTGGCTCCTGCTGGCACTGAGCTGGGCCCCCAGGCTCCGGTTGTGTTAGGTGGCATGTGGGAAGCAGGGCCAAATCCACTGTCTGAGTCTCGGCCCCGGTCCCCCTGGTTTTAGCAACACTGGTGGTGAGCAGATCAACCAGGTGGTACTGGAGGCATGGCGCAGCCGCCGGGACCGCGAGGAGATCTGCCTGCAGGAGCTCGAGCCAGTCATCGCCCAGGCGGTGCTGGACAACCCCCACCGTGAGTGCTCAGGAGCCCCACCCTGGGATGGCGTCACACCCAGGTCCATCGGGCTGGGATCTGATGCTCTGCCCACTGACCCAGGACTTCCCAGCCCAGGCTCTGTGCTCCTGGCTGTCCCAGAACCTGCCTGAGCCCTTCGCCCGGAAGGTGGCTGAGAACAGTGTCCCTACACTGGCCTTTGGGGGGTAGAAACCCAGCTCTGTGAAGCTCAGCTGCTTTTCCCTATCATCCCTTCCGGCAGACGGCTTCTGGCGCTCGGGCATCATGGAAGAGCATCTGCTGGATGCCCTGGTGCCCTTCCTACCGCTCCAGCGGCACCATGTGCGGCACTGCGTGCTCAACGAGCTGGCCCAGCTGGGCCTGGAGCCAAGGGACGAGGTTATCCAGGCTGTGCTGGACAGCACCGCCTTCTTCCCTGAGGACGAGCAGCTCTTTTCCTCCAATGGCTGCAAGACTGTGGCTTCCCGAATTGCCTTCTTCCTCTGATTCTCTGGCATCCTTGTCCTCCCCACTCGGCCAGGCCATGCAGGAAAGCCCTGGGGCCTTTGCCAGAGGGACCCTTGTCCTGACCTCCTGGAGAGTGGGACCTAGCGCACAAATTGAAGATGAGGAGAAGTGTTGGCTAGGCCATGAGACAGAGGGTCAGGTGGGCCTCTTAGCTGGTCTGAGGACATCGTGGCCTTTGCTTCCTGCCCTGGGGGAAAGTGCTGGTCACCCCAGAACCTCAATGAGTCTTGACCTCACCCTGCAGCCTGAGCCTTCTTAAATGTGAATTGTAACTCAGGGACTGTGGCTCCTGGCTGCTCCCTCCCTCCTCAGCCTTTTCCCCTTAGCCCCTTGCCCTGCTACCATATCCCACACCCTGTCCCAGTATTGTAAACCAGGCTGAGACTTCTCAGTCCCCAAGGATGAAGGGACTCAAGCTGCCACTTGGGCCTGGTTTTTAATGTTTTTAATTTTGTAAAAGAAGAGAACAAATACAATAAACTTAGCCATGGGACCAGAGTAATGTTGGCTGAGGTTTTTAATTGCTGAATGCCAATGTGGTAGGATATCTCCCATCTCCAGCAAGAAGTGAGGGGCTCGGTGGCCCCTTCAGAGAGCAGTGACACTGCCAAGGCTGGGCTTCTGGCTCTGGTCCTGGATGACATCAGTCTTGCTGGATTCTGGGCTTGGGCTCTGGTTCCAGTTCTCGAGCACCTTGGCCATGACGAGCCACTGGCCCTCGCCCTGGGTGTCCTCCGTGTTGCTGGGGCTCCAGCTTGGGTCATCGTCACTCTTGGTCTTGCTGGAACTTCGGATCAGTCCCCGGGTCCGGCCCCGGGTGGCCTCAGCCTTGACGGGGCTCCGCCTGTGAACCACCTTGGTCTTTCTGAGCCTCTGCCTTGGGCCCTGGGTGGCCTCGGTCTTGGTGGGCTTTTGCCTTGGGCTCTGAGTGGCCTCGGTCTTGGTGGGCTTTTGCCTTGGGCCCTGGGTGGCCTCGGTCTTGGTGGGCCTTTGCCTTGGGCCCTGGGTGGCCTCCGTCTTGGTGGGCCTTTGCCTTGGGCCCTGGGTGGCTTCTGCCTTGCTTGGCTTCTGGCTCTGGCTCCTCGTGACCTCGGTCTTCCTGAACAGCTGGCTCTGGCCCCTGTCTGTGGGGCTGAGGTTCAGGCTTGAGTCTTCCCTGTCGTTTCCCAGGTCTGAGGACTGCGTCCTCAGCAGTGAGGAATCAGAGGTGAGGGGCACAGGGGTGGCCGAGGTGCTCCTGTATTCCTGACAGGGAGTGGACGTCTCCGTCTCGGAGACAGACAGGGTCCTGACTGGGAAGAGCATGCCAACAGCACCCATCAGGCCACCTTCCTAGGCAGTTCCAGGAAAAGGAGGCTCCTAGGCCTCCCCCTTGCCTGTATCCCAGAGGCCTTGCATGGCCAAGGGCAAGGCCTGCCAGCCCAGCCCTCCTCAGCAACCTGCGCTTTGAAGGTGGCCAGGGCTGTAAGATAAGGGGGAGATACTGAGGGTCCTACTTGCCTATCTCTGGCTTCCATGGTGCTGGCTGCTCCTTGTCCTCTGCGTTCCAGCCACAACCAACAGCCTGTAGTTCGCCCTGCCCCACCCTCCCCTACCCCTCCTTCCGGTCCTGGAAGTCCCCACTGGTCACCCAAAGGCGGCGAAGTGCACCCACAGCCCTCCAGTGCACATCTACACTGTCCTGGTTATCCGTCTATCTGCGCGCCTTCTTCCCTTCAGGACCAAGAGCTCCCGGGGCAGGGACTGGGCTATTCATGCCTGTGACCAGTGTGTGGCAAAGCCCAGCCCTGGGACTCAATGGCTTGTTGAACTGCACTAAATGGAAGGACAGGGCTGGCCGCCGCTATTTCTATCCCGACCCCGGACTGCTCACACCTGCCCTCGGGACTCTGTTAGGAGTGGCATTCCTGGGTATTTGAATCTTGTCCCTTCCATGCTGGTGCTCGGCAAATCAGGGGTGAAAGCCCTTTGGACATGCACATGGGAGCTTATTTTAGGGAGAGGCAAGAGGGCAGAGAGAGAAAGGGCCTGAGGGGGCGTGGGGCTGGAGCAGGCAGCAACTGTGAAGTGCCCATAGTGAAGGCCGCTCCCAGGCCTGTGCGGGCATCGCCTCCCCGAGGGCTCAGCATGCCCCCTGCAAAGTTGGGATTATACTCCTGCTTTAGCCGCACAGCTGTAGGCAGCAGAGCCCACATTCTCAACCAGGCCAGGGAGTCTTTGACCCGGACCTTTGCTCACTCTGCTGCTCTGGCTCACTCAGGACTGGAAGGGACACCAGGGACTTACAGCCCAACATGGAGACTGACGAGGTCTGGTCGGGGTAGCTGTCGGACAGGGACTGCTCCGGCTTCTCCTAGGGCAAGAGACGGGCTAGGCAGTGGGGCCGCAGGACGCCCCGGCCAGCGGCTGAGCTCCGGAAGGCCAGCAGGCATTGGGGCCTTCGGTGACTGTTCCCTTGAGCTTGGAGCTGCTCAGAGGTCCCAGGTTAGGGCTGGGTAGGGACATGCAGAGGCTAAGATTGGACAGGAGGGCGAGTGGCCAGCCTAGAGAGGCATGCTGCTGTGAGCAAGGCAGTGTTCAAGAGGCTGCATGGGCCCTGGCTGGTTTGCTCAGTGGTTAGAGTGTCAGTCCGTGGACTAAAGGGTCTTGGGTTCAATTCCAGTCAAGGGCATGTACCTAGGTTGCAGGCTCCATCCCAGGCCCTCGGGGCATGTGTGGGAGGCAACCAATTGATGTGTTTCTCTCACATTGATGTTTCTCTCTCTCTGTCTCTCCCCTTCCCTCCCACTCTCTAAAAATCAATGCAAAAAAATATCCTCAGGCGAGGATTAACAACAACAACAAAAAAGGAGGTTGCATGGGCCTCAGTTTTCCCATCTGCAACATGTGAATTAGTTCAAGTATGGCACAGGCTTCTGTAAACTGCCAAGTGCTGTGCCCTGGGCAGTGGCCAGTGAGGAACTGAGGAGCTTTGCCCTACTTCGCATGTCGTATCCCACTTCCTCCTCCCCACGTACCTGGGAGGAAACTACCACTAATACATTTCATTGACCAGGAAACAGGCTCTGAGCACCTAAGCAGCCTGCCCAGGGCATCAGCTGAGAGAAGCTGCGGCCAGGGGGCTGGGCAGGGGTACGGAGCACTAACAGCACTAACGTACAGGTGCCAGCTCACAGCTCCGAGGGAGGGAGCCCACAGTGACTCCAGGGGCACAGGGACCAAAGTTTTGTATTTTGTATCCTAATGGGACCTGGAAGAAGGGCGAGCTGGCCTTTTCCATTTATGGGAAGGGATTCAGGGAGCCCATTTACTTCCCCTGTGTGAGGTTTCCTGGGGACACTATTGACGTGCTGTCCAACAGCAGTGGGTGGGTAGGTACATTGTGGGGTAGATGGGATTCGCCATGGCAGCGAGAGTGAGCATCAGCCCGGTGCCTCTCACCAGTGCGGTTTAGTGAAGGGAGCAGAGACCGGAGGGCACACGGATCTGTCCCCTGAACACTAGGCTCATCTTCCGTGTGAGTGGTGTGAGCGATCGGGACAGCCTCGTGGGGTGGGCTGGGCTGAGGGAGGGGCCTTGAAGGGGGCTCCTGGGGACTTCTGGGGAGCTGGGAGTGTTCTTTCTTGATCTGGGTAATGATGCCATGGGTGCATTCAGTTTGTGAAAATTCATCAAACAGTTCCTTTATGATTTGAACACTTTTCTATGTTACACTCAATACAAGTTTAATATATATATTTCAGAGAGGAAGGGAAAGGGAGAGAGATAGAAACATCAATGATGAGAAAGAATCATTGATCGGCTGCCTCCTGCATGCCCCACACTGGGGATCGAGCCTGCAATGCAGGCATGTGCCCTGACCAGGAATCGAACCATGACTTCCTGGTTCAACACTCAACCACCGAGCCATGCCAGCCAGGCTCAGTTCAAGTTTTTAGAAAGGAATTGGAGAATTAAGAAAACTCTGGCATGAGTGGCCAGTGCACACATCAGCATGCATGAAGGTGAGTGTGGGCAAGGTTTGAGGAGGCCTCTCCGTGAGGGGCCCATGTCCCCCTGTGCACTCCCTCCGGGGGTCCCCTTACTGGTACCATCCGCATCTCACAGCAGCAAGTCCCCAGCCCAAGTGACACAGCTGAGTGGGGCAGAGCCAGGCCTGCGGTGCACTTCACCAGACCTCAAGGGCTCCAGGTCCTGCTTGTTGGCCTACTCACCTTCTCGGCATCCACGGCCTCTTCTGGGTGTTCTGGCCCTTCCTGCGGGATCGGGGATTTGGAGTCCAGCTTCTGAGGTTTTGTCTCCCGCAAAACCTGTTGTTCCTTCCACGAAAGCTGCAGGGTCCGGGCCTTCTGGCGCTCCAGTTCTTGCTTATAGAGCTTCCTGCCCAGCCAGGGCCCCAGAGCACAGGGTAAGTCTCCCTGCCCTACCCACCATCCCCAGGACTGGACAATGGCTTGAGGAGGCAGCCAGGGCCAGAGGAGCCTTGAGCCCAACCATTCCCACTCCTGGCCTGTGGCTCCTGCACGAGGAGCTTACCCCATGATGCCTTGAGAGATGTTATCCTTCCTCCTGCTCTCTATCACGCGACTCAGCTGCATCTTGGCCAGGAGGCCCACCTGGCTGCCAAGCACCTCCTCCATTGACATGCCCGGGAAGAGGATGGTTATCAGCGAGAGCAGCTGCAGGAAAGGGGTGACCAGAGCGAGGTGTGGGCCAGGGCAGGGGCCGGTGGTATGATGCTGCCCTGCCCTTGCAAAGTCCCTTTGCAGGGCTGAAGAGGGGAGAATTTACAAATTGTTGTCTTTAAAGGGCTGTTTTGCCCCAGAACTGCGAGGAGACCATGAAAAAGGAACTATTCAGAGAGGAAACACTGACGGGGTGCGTCTAGCCGTGGGCTCTGGAGCCAGACAGATCAGGGTCTAAGCTCTAAGCTGTGTGACCTAGGACAAGAGGACTGGCTTCTCTGAGCCTTACCCTCTTGGTCTGTAAGTTGGCGGGTGATAACGTTACCTGTCTCCTAGGGGCTGAAGAGGGTTAGAGTGATGCGAGCTGAAGAGGTTAGAACAGTGCCTGGCACACAGTAAATGCTCTAGCATTAGCAGCTTATACTAGTTGCTAGGAAACCACATTTCTTTTCAGGGCAGGGAGTATCGTTAGGAGGCCAGGAGTATTGACTCTGCAGACGCCCTCCTGGCCACCAGGAGGAACCCACCTTCGGTTGCTTAGGGTCAAGGATCAGGGCAGTTGCAACGTCCTGGCGGGCCCCAAAAATGTTCTGTATGAACTGCCGGCTTCTGGCGCGGTGCAGGTAGTACTGAGCCATCTGGGGATTGTGCTGGATGGCCAGTGTGAAGTGGCTCTCTGCCTTCTGGAATTGTCTACAAAATAGCAGCCACAGGCTGCAGTGAGCGAAGCAAATAGCAGCTTCCAGCCCCACGGAGGAGTGTGGGGAAAACCAGGCTGGTATCTGCTCCCCGCCATCTTGCCCCACCGCTCTC